GGGGGGGATGGGAAAACAAACATGATAAACCTCCTACAGGGTACGTGGGCCCAAGGTTGTTTTTTTTTTTTTTTTTGCCCCCCCCCCCCCCCCCCCCCCCCCCCGCGCGACCATCTATACGCGCATCTCTTCGGTTTGCATGTCGTCTCCCATAGGTATAATTTTTATTTGATAAATTCTAATGTCCCCAACGTAAAATCCCGAAAGATTTAGCGGTTCATCTCAACCAGCACAAAAAAAACAGATTGGTTTAGTTCACGATTTCAGTTCTTCTATACTATGATGAATTTTATTCGTCAACAAACTTGAAGAATGAATTATGGTAAATACGTTGGCGTAACTGCGTAAAGAATTCGGGAACAATTTTGTACTTATCCAGTATGATAATAAAATGCAACAAGGGCACAAAAAGTGTTAACATCCAATTATTTTGATGGCTCGAATTGCGTTTTTTATTCGTATTACTGTTATAGAGCAACTTTTGGAAGTCGTCGGTCTCCATTTACGTGATCCCGCTAAAATTAGTCTTCAAAACCTTATTATTATGGGTTCTTTCAAAATTCTTATGCCTAGGGACTTTTTATTATTATTCCCTTTTAACATACAATAACTCTCCAGTTTCGCGTGGGGACCTAAAGACTGCTGACCAGTTATTCTTCCTAGTTCGAGAATTCGGTGTGTAGTTGGCTGCTCAAGAATTAAAAACGCCAACACTTGCCAGTATTTTAATATATCGGACACTGACAGTACCAGTAGATGATCTGTAATCTACCGTAATTAGATAAAAAGGCATAAAACTCCGGTTATATTTACAAAAATCCGGTTTTTCGTCCCACTACTACCAGCCCGCCTTCTCAGCCTCAATGTCACCATTACACAAACAATGTGTGTATATATATGAAGGTTGTTAACAAATGTAAACCTTTCATCCAATATCATTAATGTTCTTCTGACTTAAATATTCCGCAACGACAAAAGACAACTTTCCTTCGTTTACAATGTCTAGACATAATAACTTGGACTTGCTAGCACCCGAACTTAAAGTGGAAGTTATTCTCTACTTGAGTAATCCCACACCACTTGCTCGATGCTCACATTCTTGGTACGCCACAGTAAACTCGCCTGCTACAAAATCCAAGTGGCTGATCAGCAAATATGGTAAAACCCATGCATTGTTTCATGCGGTAAGAATGGGTGTGCCATTCATTAGCGTTGATGTCGTTGAGAGTCTATTGGCTCAAAAAGCCCATATCAGCCGATATTTTATTCAAAGACTAATGCTCGGATTTGGCAAGTATGACAACAGACTTATTGATCTCAAGTTGACGCACACTACTAGGCCACTCGACCCGGACCGTAAGAAAATTATTCAGAATAAAATCCGGAGTCCCTGGGCAAGTAATCTTCCGTTCAACGTTTTTTCCAGAATTCTCAAAGAGGGACATGACCGATTTGACGGAAACAACATGCCGGTACGCGGAAACGACATGGAATCGTTTTATTATCTTACAGCTGGTCCATTGGTAGTTAGCGAAGCAAGAGAAAAAAAGCTGAAGGCAAACCTAAATGAAATTGAACAGTTAATCACAAAGTTCAAATTTGCGCCGTTCCCTCCTAGGCCAGGGATCCGCAACTCAGTCAACACAACGTCACATTCTGTTAACTTTGATCCGTCTCCTGATACTGATGGTTACGAAAATGTACGCTGGTTAAATGCCATTGCACGCGCCATACTTTTGTATCCCGACTTGGTTAATGTCTGGAAGCGAAATGGATGTCATGAGATAGTGGATGATACGAACGATATTGTCATAAAAAGCGTCTTGGCAGATTTTAATACGAATCCAGACCAATTCAGTCAGCGGCTGAAAGAGCTGTGTTCCGTTGGATTTAGACTGACAAATAGGATGATGGGTGACGCTTTATTGTCATGTGAAAGTCGTATAACAGATATAGGAGAAGCATTGATAACTGCGTTTGCTGTTGTTCGCGGCATGGCTAGGAACGATATGCTCTTTACATGTTTATCAGAACTGCTGAATCCGGACAGAAATCTCAAGCGGCATGATTTACTTGATTATATACTCGATCAAATTGATAACCCCGAAGATGCCGCGTACAAGGTCCTGCGTAGCTACGATATCGTAAATCCGGTGAACGTTTATCTTGGGAACGATCCTATTCCTCAAGCTTTTACTATGCTCAAATATTCCCCTATTGTCTACGAATTCATGTTGGTCAAGTTTGGTGCTGACTCGCCTGTTACCATGTATTTGATGGAAGAGATTACGACCGTGCGTATAGGGCAAGCCAAACTTCATGAATCAAATAGCACTCTTGCCTTGTCCACTGCTTCAGTCGACCGCAGATGGCAAGAATCAAGCTACCTCTTCAACGTGTATTGTTCGGAGGGTGTTCATATAGGACCGCAATTTTTACCTTTGTTCAAAACATGTCCGGAGGAGTTTGTCATCAAATGTCTATTTGACACATACTTGGCGAAGCTTTTTGATTTCAGTGTTAAATTTCAACCATCACGAGCAGACAAGAAGCCAGCACTGGGAGTCACTCCGTTCACACATAGGAAACGCAGGGCGAAATATGGATTACAGATGAAATGGCGGTATGCGATTTGTTCTATTACTCGGAATGATGAAATGTCGTCCTCATTTAAGGATTACGTTCAAAAATTCATCCAGCGCGAGCATGAAACTACTGGCAAATCGTTAACGTCATCAAAACGACATCGATCTGGATAACCGCCGGACATTGTCTTTTTTTTTTTTTTTTACTTTTTTTTTTTTTTTTAATTTTTTTTTTTTATTTTCTATTTGAACAATAAAAAAAGCCAAGCGGCTCTCGTGACCATGTAATTTTAGCGTCTTTAAGCTATCCATTTTATTCGAGCTAACGACAGAAACCTAATTATTAAGTTCGTTATGAGAAACTAGCACTTGCGCCTAACAGACGAGCACTCCACGACATTTGTTAACTTCGAATTAAAGTACCTACCTATTTTGTTCTCCTTCCCCTCTTCCTTGCCATTAATTCTCGGCCTTCTTCTAATCATCCCTTACAGAAATAACTCCCTTCTCACGCTTAATTACGTACCCATCGTATGTTGCTCACTTCAAAGTTCTCTGTCGTTCATACCCTTATTACAGAAAGATACTCTGAACGTTGTTATAACACATTACTGTCTCGATATTCAACATGCACTAACACACTTGGGTCGCTGGAAGGCGCCGGTCAATATTGAGTGTTATTAATACCGACTGTTATCACATATTCCCATCAGAATGACTGTTCTTACAGTGAACAGATCTTATTCCTTATCGCTACAGACTAGTTGCCAACGTCACAGAACATGGTTCAATAGTTTTATCAAAAATTGACATAAGCCTTGCTCAATAAATTCGGACCGCATCTAATCCCGTGCCTTCATTTCCATCGACAGGCGGATATGCACCATGTTCATGGACATCTCTGCTAGTTGAATACATACCACATACCCGCCTTGTGCAACGAGTGAGTTATCAATAGGTAGATATCGCACAACAGCCTACTTAAAGTGCGTATTCTGCGCCCAACAATCCCACCCACACCTTTGCAACCTCTTCCAAGTTCTAAAACGCTATGAAGTGAAAGTAGGACGCTCCACGTCGATTGCTGGTACGGTCCATCTTTACGGAGATTATTTCTGCATCAAGTTGTAGGCAAAATTGTTTGTCACGAACAACG